AGGGGGCAGAAGCCTCCCCTACAAGCCCTACCAAGGAGTTTTCAGTGACTCCCAGCGCCCTCCCGGCACTGGGAATCCCCCGGGCACGGCTCTTACCTGGCCCTGCTGCCCCTCCCCAGGGCTCCGAGCATCCCCCGGGGCACGTCCCGCACTGCCCGCGGCTCTCTGCTCATCCTGCAGCTCTGAGCGCCTCCTCTGCTGCCTGATGGCACCGTACAGCCGGGCCAGCCCCGGGGACAGCTGTGGGGCCGGCTGTGGGGCCGGCTGTGGGGCCAGCTGTGGGGCCAGCTGTGGGGACAGCTGTGGGGACAGCTGTGGGGACAGCTGTGGGGACAGCCCCAGCCGGCGCTGCCCGAAGGCTCGGAGCAGCCTGGCCGTGTCGATGGAGGACAGGGACAGGGACACGGAGCTGCTGTCCCCGCACGCAGGGGACGTGTCCAGCCCTGCCGGGGTCGCCGTGTCCCAGCCCGAGGTGCTGCAGGCGCTGGGCTCTGAGCTCAGCCGGGTGTCCGAGGAGCTGTCACTGGCAACTGCCACGGGCTGCTCCTCCAGAACCTTCTCCAGCTGCTGGGCCACCCTGTGCCCTGCCCCGTCTGTCCTGAGCTCCTCCAGGGCCACCCTGTGCCCTGCCCTGTCTGCCCTGAGCTCCTCCAGGGCCACCCTGTGTCCTGCCCTGTCTGTCCTGGGCTCCTCCAGGGCCACCCTGTGCCCTGCCCTGTCTGTCCTGAGCTCCTCCAGGGCCACCCTGTGCCCTGCCCTGTCTGTCCTGGGCTCCTCCAGGGCCACCCTGTGTCCTGCCCTGTCTGTCCTGGGCTCCTCCAGGGCCACCCTGTGCCCTGCCCTGTTTGCCCCGGGCTCCCCCGGGCTGTTTTTGCCGTGCCTCAGCCGTGCCCTCTCTCCCTCTCTCCCTCCCCTGGATTTTCCTGCCACTCTCACTCCTGGCTGTTCCCTTCCCTGCATTTCCTGCACTCCCTGCATTTCCTGCCCCCCAGCAGCTGCCAGGCTGTGCCTGATGGGGCTCTGCAGGAGCCGTGCCAGCCTCTCCAGCCTCTCCACCAGGGACAGCTGTCCCCTTGTCCCCAAGCCCTGCTGCTGCTGCTGTGTCCTCTGGCGCTGCAGGAACGTGACCCACAGCTCCTCCAGGCCGGCCCTGGGCTGCCTGCCCTGCCCCTGTGCCCTCCCCGGGCTCTGGCCAGGGGGAGCCCCTTGGCCAGGGGGCACAGGGGCAGGGCCAGCGGCTCCTGGCAGCCCCATGCCAGCCCCATGGCCCAAGGGTGCCCTGGCACTCAGCTCCTCCCTCCTGCTCTCATCGGCCTCTGCAGGGAGAGGGAAAAATTCCTGCTCCTGCCCTGTGCCCCGGGGGACACGGGGAGTGTGCTGGGCTGGGGACAGGGCCAGGGCCAGGCTGGGGACAGTCCCTGAGCCCCGGGGGACAGTCCCTGAGCTGGGGACAGTCCCTGAGCCCCGGGGGACAATCCCTGAGCTGGGGACAATCCCTGAGCTGGGGACACTGTGCCTGCAGAACCCCCTGGGATCCGGGCAGCAGCTCCCAGCGACAGCACCAGAGGGTTTCACACTCTTGGAAGGCTCTGTCAGCTCTGCAAGAGAAGAAAACACATCGATGTTTCGTTTCTCAGCTTCAAGTGGAGGATTTTCATCCCAAAACTTCCAAAACACGTCAAAGGAGTAAAAGCAGGAACACTGAGCTCGCTCCCAAATGCAGTGAACTTGGAAATGCAGTTTGAGCATTATTTAAATCACATAAATCATATTTCCTGTCATTTGCAGCATGGAATCCAAGAGAAGATCATCTCCAAGTGAATCTAATTCCACCCCAGGGAAGTGCCCTGGCCAGCACTGAAGTGAGAGCCACGGAAGGGACCCCAAAGCCACCCAGTGCCACGGGCAGGGCCACCCCCCAGTGCCCCAGGGGCTCCAATTCCCAGCCAGCCTGGCCTGGGCACTGCCAGGGATGGGGATCCCTGAATCACACACAGCACGTGCCAGGACCACTCCCCAAAACAGCGTCAAAGTCATTTTTACTCGATTTACATGTTGTAAAATGTGCTTTTTGTTGTGGGGTTTTTTGTTTTTTTTTTTGGATAAAGGACTGGCTGGATCTCCTCCCTCCCAGCACAGGGGATCAGGGATGCTGCAGCCAGGCCCAGCCTCACCAGCTCACAAGTGCAGGAATTTTTCTTCCCATACAAGGGCAATGTTTATAAACTGGTGTAAGAGGCTTCCTCCACATCCTCCTGACAAATGAGATCAGGCTTGGGAATGCCAGGCAGAACTTTGCTATTCCTGGATTTTTTAGAAAGTTACCAAGAAATGGAAGGAATGTAAACAGGCAAAAAAAAAAAAAATAAAAATAAGTTTGTATAGAGAAACTTTTTTTTAAAAAAATACATAACTTGCATAATTTTAAGCTCTAGACAAGCTCTGTGGGTAGAGGTAATCTTTTATTAGATCACCTAAAAATACAGTTGAAGAAGTCAGGGAAGATTTAAGACATTTTCTTCTGAAAGCTTCTAAAAGTTCCAGCTGCACTGGCTGCCTTCACAAAAGATTTTTTTCTCCTAACAGTTTTTTTTCTTACCTGGGCCTTGAGACCATCACAGCTATAAAAAAATGTTAGGAGATAATTTTACATTAACACTTTTGCTCCCCTCTCATTTTTATCCAGGTTATTGATGTTGCAGCCTTACATAACCACCGAAATTTTTCCTCTGCAAACAAAAATTGTCTTCTGGAAACACCAAAGCCTCTCCATTCTCAGAGGAAAAAGCTTCAAAGAACAAAACCCTACCTGAAGTGAAAAATGGAAATAATCAGCTGGAATCCCTGTCAGCACATCAGGAGAATTCCCTGACAGGAAAGTCAGGACAGCAGGAGAGAGGTGGCAGCACCCAGGAGTGTCTGCTGTGCCCAGGGAAGCCCCCAGGGGGGTTTGAGCTGTGCCAGGAGTGCCCAGGAGGATTCACTGCAGCTCCTGTCACCAGAGCCACTCCACACTGGGCTCAGCCTGATCCCATTTTGGCAACCTCCTCCCCAAAATAAGCCTGGGGTGGCCACTGGAGGAGCAAACCCCAAACCTTCCTCCAGCAGGGCCAGGGACAGCAGCTGGACCTGGGGGACACCCAGGGGACACCCAGGGGACACCCAGGGGACACCCAGGGGACACAGGAACCTGATGTGACATCACAGGACAGCAGAGTTCCATGGGCAGGGACAGCCCCAGCCCAGGTTCCCCAGCTGGAACCCCTGACAATCCCACACAGGAATGTCAGGAAATGCTGATTTCATTCAGCATTCCAGGGAATCCTGGAAGGCCTTGGGTTGGAGGGACCTTAAATCCCAGCCAGGGCAGGGACAGCTCCCCTGCCCCAGGTGCTCCCAGCCCTGGGACATTCCAGGCATGCAGAGCCCACAGGCTGCCAGGGAAATCTGCATTTTAGCACTCAGGGAGAAGCAGAAAGGAGAGGAAGGGAAAACAGAGTCAAATTTAGCATTTTCTGGCAGACTGTCAGCAATGTCACCAGAAGCACAGATCCCGAAATGCCAATCTCCTGCTCTGACTTCCTTCACATGGATGAACACACATCAACGAGCACAGAATTAAAACCACATTTTAATTACCTGAAAACTGCTCCAGGGGCATCCTCTGCTCCTCAGCCCAGGCCAGGCCAGGCCCAGCCCTGTGGCCATGGACTGTCCCTCTCTGCTGGGCAGCTGCCCTGGCTCGAGTGGCATCGTCCCTGAGAGCCAGCACTGGGGACAGGAACCCTGCAGGAGCATCCTCTGAGCCTGGAGAGAGAGAGAACAGCATGGGGACAATGGGGACAATGGGGACAATGGGAACAGGGAGAGAACAGCCTGGGAACAATGGGAACAGCCTGGGGACAATGGGAACAGAGAGAAAGAACAGCATGGGGACAATGGGGACAACGGGAACAGGGAGAGAACAGCCTGGGAACAACGGGAACAGCATGGGAACAATGGGAACAGGGAGAGAACAGCATGGGAACAATGGGGACAGCCTGGGAACAATGGGAACAGGGAAACACACACACAAATGGCACCAGGAACCAGCAATGAGGAACCCTGGAGTGCCCAGGCCAGGCTGGATTGGGATTGGGGCAGCTGGGACAGGGGAAGGGTCCCTGCCATGGCAGGGGTGGGAGGGCATGGGATGGGATAATGGGGTGGGATCAGTGGGATGGGATGGGACAATGGGATGGGACAATGGGATCAATGGGATGGGATCAATGGGATCAATGGGATGGGCTTTAAGGTCCTTCTAACCACACAATTCCACGATTCCATGATCCTGTCTCAGCATCAGAAACCCAGAACTGTCCCCCACAGTCTCCCATCCTTGCCAACCCCACCTGGTCACATCCCTTGCATTTCCTGCACTCAGCTGCTCCCCTGAGCTGAGCCCTGAGTGCAGCAGGGACTGGAAAAACAAAATGTGGTTTTTTTTCATTTCTCTGTGTTTTCCTAGAACCTTGTGGTGCTGCTCCATTTGCATAGGGAATTTTTATATGTGGCATCATCATTTCTGCAAAACAACAGATTTGTACCACATTTGTTTCTCTCATTTTGGACACGTTTCCCCAGATAAACTGGAGAAAGTTGAGAGCAGGGACACCTGCACCATGCCCAGCACAATTTGTGGCTGCAGTGACTGATCTGGGCCCTTCAGGAATTCTTGGATCAGCCTGATCCCTTGGTCACCATTGCTGGGATTCAGGAACTGGACATCTCTAACAGCAGTTTTATCCACAGAGAACTCTGGGCATTAAAAAGCTCTGAGTGAAACCAACCTGCAAATAAAACCTGCAATGGATCACAGATAATTCAATACCCATGGATCACAGATAATTCAGTACCCACAGATCATAGACATGGATTATTTGTGATCCATGGATAATTCCATGTCCATGGATCACAGATAATTCAGTATCTATGGATCACAGACATGGATTATTTGTGATCCATGGATAATTCAGTACCCATGGATCACAGATAATTCAGTATCCATGGATCACAGACATGGATTATTTGTGATCCATGGATAATTCCATGTCCATGGATCACAGATAATTCAGTATCCATGGATCACAGATAATTCAGTACCCATAGATCACAGATAAATCAATGCCCAGGGATCACAGACATGGATTATTTGTGATCCATGGATAATTCAGTACCCATGGATCACAGATAATTCAATATCCATGGATCACACTCATGGATCACAGACAATTCAGTACCCATAGATCACAGATAAATCAATGCCCATGGATCACAGACAATCCAGTGCAGAATATTCCATCCCCCCTGGAGGAAGGCTGCAGTACCTGAGTGGGAGCTGTCTCCACTGGCCTGGGCCTCCCCTGGGCACAGGCTGTTTGCTGCTCTCTGGTAAGGCACATAATACATGCCAGTGCTTCCCCAGGGCTTGTAGGGCAGCAGCAGGGGCTGGGCTGGGGGAGAAAGGCAAACAGTGAGAGGAGCCAGGCTGGAAACCTGCCATGGAACAAGGCAGCAGCTGGGGAGGCTGCTCAGGGTGTTCCTGCTGCTGAAATCTGAGGAACACCCTGTTCTTTAGCAAAATGGATTGTAACTGTTTCATTCATTCAATTAAATTAATTGAATTTTTTTAATCCCCACCCACAGGTAGAAGGTTACCATCCCTTACCTGGAGAAACCTATTCAATGTTACAATTGTGATCAGTGACTTGCAGAAACATCTCCTGTACCCACAGAGCTCCCAGCTGATCCCAGTTTGAGGGAATCATTTTAAAGGAGTGGGGATGTGTCCCTCAAGTCAATAAAAACAGCAAAGCCCCAGTACAAAACTGGGGTGGGAACCCCCAGTGAACATCCTCGTCCCTCTGCTGACAGCTGTCCCAAACCCTGCACCCTGCTCTGTTTTATTTTACTAAAAGCAGCAATGTGCACATTTCCCTCTGATTTTTTGGTGTTATCTTGACTAGAGAGTAAATCAGGAATCAGATCTCACTGAAATCCAAGTGAATCAAATCCAATCATCCACACTCAAACCCAGAAAATATTCTCCAACCACACCTGGGCACAAAGAATTCAGTTCCAGAGAAACCCACACAAATCCCTCCCCACTGAAGGTGGATTTATGATTTAAGGGTTTGGTTTTTCCCCCCATATGAGCAACTTCAAATATCCCAATCATCTCAAGGATGTTATTTCCCCCAAAGAGCTGGGTTTGCTTCGGGGTTTTAACATTTACAATGTGATCCATTGTACAGATTCGAACACAGGAGACAGGGATGTGCTCACCAGGCTGCCTCGGGAAGGGAGGAACGTCCTTGTGGGATGAAGGTGGGACCTGGGCAGCCTCAGGGGCAGCGTCTCCCCCGTCCTGGGGCTGCACACACTCTTCTGCCGACAGCGTGCTTTGGGTGGCACTCTCCACGGGGATCTGGGTGGCAGCATCAGAAACGCTCCTGGCAGGTTGTGCAGCAGGAGGGGCAGAGCTGGGGGTCCCCTCTGCACCCCCGAGCTGGGCTCTGGCCCTGCCCTGCAGCCTGGAGGAGAACATCTGGCTGGGATCTGCTGGCACAGCTGGGCTGGGACCCTCTGCAATCCCCTGGGCACCACCTCCCACTGCACATTCTGGAGCTGCTTTTAAAGGCTGAGCCTGTGCTGGAGCTTTGTCCCACTGCCCCATCCCAGCCCTGCTCAGCTCGGGCTGCCTGAGCCTGGAGGACAGGGTGATGTGCACACAGCTCAGGAATTTCCTCACCGGGGCCGAGGTGCTGGATAAACGTGCAGCTGCAGGGTGACCAGGAGCCGTCTGCTCCTCCCCAGCCTCCTCTGGAACCAGAGCTGCCTCCTGAGAGCTTCTCCTGCCCTCTGCCAACTCCTCACCAGGGCCCTGCAGCAAAGCCACGTGTGCAGCTGCTCCCGAGCCCCCACAAGCCTGGCTGTGCCCACCTGGCATCTCCTCCTGCTGGGCAGCTCTGATGGATTGGGGGTCACCCACGGGATTGATTTCCTGGCTGACTCTGAGCCCCCCAGCTCTGTCCCCAGCTGCAGTCACAAATTGGGGCTGCTCTGTCCCCAGGCTCTGTCCTTTGCCAGCCTGGCTGCTCCCAGGCTCCTGGGCTGGTCCCTGAACAGCTGCAGCCCTGGCACTGGCCCTGGCACTGGCCCTGGCACTGGCCCTGGCAGCAGGGACAGGAGAAATCTCTGCAGCATCAGCAGCCCTGGAGCTCTGCAGCTCAGTGCCCAGCCTCTGCTCCCCAGGCAGCAGGGCACTGCCAAGGCTGGGGCCGGGTGCCAGGGGCGAGCAGAGGGTGATGGAGCTGCTGGGCCTGCCCAGCTCCCCCTGGGCACGGGGGGCACACGGGGGGGCAGCTGCAGAGCTCCCTGCACAGGGATGCCCGGCCAGGGGGGCACCGAGCTCTGCCATGGCACTGGATGGCTGCTGGCTGCACACCTGCAGCTCTGCTGTGTTCTGGGGGTCCAGCTGCAGGTCCTGCAGCTCTGCAGCGTTCTGGGGGTCCAGCTGCAGGTCCCGAGCAGGTTCCAGCTGCAGGTCCTGCAGCTTAGCAGAGTTCTGGGGGTCCAGCTGCAGGTCCTGCAGCTCAGTAGTGCTCCAGGATTTCACCTGCAGGTCCTGCAGCTCAGCAGAGTTCCAGGATTTCACCTGCAGGTCCTGCAGCTCTGCAGTGTTCTGGAGGTCCATCTGCAGGTCCTGCAGCTCAGTGGTGCTCCAGGATTTCACCTGCAGGTCCTGAAGCTCAGTGGTGCTCCAGGATTTCACCTGCAGGTCCTGCAGCTTAGCAGAGTTCTGGGGGTCCATCTGCAGGTCCTGCAGCTCAGTAGAGTTCCAAGGTTTCACCTGCAGGTCCTGCAGCTCAGCAGAGTTCCAGGATTTCATCTGCAGGTCCTGCAGCTTAGCAGAGTTCTGGGGGTCCATCTGCAGGTCCTGCAGCT